AAATACTCCATGAGTCTTACCTAGAAAACGAAGCTGAAGTCCTGTAAGTCTCATATGGGCTTGTTTAAATGAAGTTGGTTGAAGCCAGCCTGTGGAACAGTGAGAGCTATACAAGCCCATGAATGTGTGGGTCTAGAAGAGAAGGTGGACGCATCATAGGTGCAGAAAGGGGTGGCAAAAGTACTGTAGATACTACGGTCTTCCCTGGAAAAACAGTAAAATCTTACAAAACAATGAATAGTCTGGTAGCATTTTAAAGACTAACAAAACATGTAGACGGTATCATGAGCTTTCGTGGGCACAACCCACTTCTTCAAATGACCAGTCATCTGAAGCTGTGCCCACGAAAGCTCATGATACCATCTACATGTTTTGTTCGTTTGTTTTTAAAGTTTATCCTGTACAGACTAACTTGGCTACTCCCTGAAGTTTCTGAAATAAAATAGTCACTTGCGATCCGGGGTCAAGTACTGCTTGAGGCCCTATTAGCCCTGAGGGGATTCCAGCTGAACAGTCTTTTCTGGGGGATCCTTCAAATACTGTGGGCCTGGGTGGCCCCTGTCCAAAGACTCTCTGGCAAGTCCCTGACCTCTCCCAACTGATCCTCAGCTTTCCAGAAACTTAAGCTGGGATTTTCCTCACTTTGGCAATTGACAACACTGTGCCCATCTTGACCACACTGGTAGCAAAAAAACTGTCCACTCCTCCTTCACCTGGGTGGGATGGTGGCTCCAGATGCTGATTTCTCCATCACCACAGCCTGAGGCTCCTTATCCATGTCAATCCTAGCTTGGTCAATGACGCTTTGCAACTAAGCCTTCTGTGCTGCCAGGACCTGTACTTGTGGGGCAAGGTCCTCTCTGGTGCTCACCATCAGTACACGGGCTGTTTGTTGGGGTGCTGTGCTGGCCGGCTTAGATGTCTGGGCTTCTGTAGGCTGCCTCCGGCTCAGTGGGCGGCCACTCTTGTGCCCTACTACACTCCAGAGAAGGAGCAGAGGCAGGCGGGGAGCGGTGCTGCTGCTCTTCCTTCTCCCCCTCCTGCTCCTGCTCCTGCTCTGCACCAGCCAGAGCCCTACCCAGCCACCACCTGAGGCCTCCGTGCTGCTGGACCTGCTCCCCCTAGACACCACCGCTTCTCACCACCACAGGCTGCTGCTGC